CAATTTCTTTTGAAAATACCCACCTTTGAGAGCATTTCTACTAAAACAAATTTTGTCTCCCTTAAGGCAGTTTTTCTAGAAATACAAAATCTTTAAGTTTGTTTCTCTTAAAATAAAACCATCTTTGAGTCGTTTCCCTTGAAACGAATTTTGTCTCTTGAAACATTTTCTCTTAAAACAATATCATCTTTGAGTTTGTTTCTCTGGAAACAAGGTTTTATCTTTTGATACAGTTTCTTTTGAGAAAAATCTTTGAGTCTATTTCTTTGGAAACAAAATTTTGTCTCTCTTGAGACAATATCTTTGAGTTTGTTTCTATTGAAACAAAAGTCTTTGAGTCTGTTTCTATTAAAACAAAACAATCTTTGAGTCATTTCCTTTGAAACAAAATTTTGTCTCTCTTGAGACAGTCTCTCTTAACAAAATTATCTTTGAGTCTGTTTCTTTTGAAGCATCATCTTTGAGTCGGTTTCGTTTGAAATCATTATCCCTAAAGATGGCCAGAAATCTTCATCACGTATGAGCCGTGTCATCCCATGACCAGATCTCTTCATCGCATAGGAGCCGTGTCACCCCTAGATAACCAGACGTCCTCATCACGTAGAAATCGTGTTATCGCCCTTCCTAAAGATGACCAGAACTATTCATCACGTATGAGTCGTATCATCCCCCGACCAGATCTCCTTATCGCGTAGGAGCTGTGTCACCCCTAGATAACCAGTCGTCCTCATTACGTAGGAACCGAATTATCACCCTTCCTAAAGATGGCCTGAACTCTTCATCACGTATGAGCCGTGTCATCCACTGACCAGATCTCTTCATCGCGTAGGAGCTGTGTCACCCCTAGATAACAAGACATCCTCATCACGTAGGAATCGTGTTATCACATTTCCTAAAGATGACCAGAACTCTTCATCACGTATGAGCTGTGTCATCCACCCTTAGACGACCACACCTCTTCATCACGTATGAGCAGTGTCGTACCCAATAACCACATTATCCAATTTCTAAGCTGAAAAGGGAGAGAACCAGACAAAAACGTGTTGTCTTGTCGTCTTTGCCCTATTCTTGTTAACACAAGAATGTACAAAGAGGGGCAGCTGTAGAAACTCGTTTTTGTCTGGGTCTTTTTTTCATTTTATTTATATTATTATTATTATTATTATTATTACTAATTATAAGTTACATTTTACAGGCCAATCCCGAGGTCCAAACCAAAAGCCCAACCCGTTTACAAGTGATCATGCCTGACCCAAACAGGCCCAATTCCATACCCGATTAGCAACCCGACCTGGTTCCCTAGGGTTTCTAAAACCCTAACCCTAGGGATATCATCAGCTCAGCCGTCGCTTGCCATTGTTGCCGCCGCCGTCCTCCTCTGCATCAACCACAGTAACCCCATCAGTTCCAAATCAAACCAAATCAAAGGAAATAGTAAACAAATCAAAATCCCAAATTTAAAATTTAAAATTCCCTAAATCCCAAAATTTTGGGATTTCTCCAAAAACAATCAGAATTATTACCCTATCTACCTAGATATCATCATCATCTCACCAGAAATCCACATGCAAGCAAACATAAAAGACCAAAGAAGAGAAAATAGGGGATTCGGTGATAACCAGGAAAAAAATAGAGAGAGTGCTAAAAACCAAACAAAGTGAGGGAGATCTTACCCTTGTAGAAAACCTCATCGTTGTAGCTTAGCCAGAACAGAGAAGGTCGAATCGATGGTAAACTTCCCCCTATTTTGGATATAGAGTTTTTGAATAGGGGTTTTCAATTTTATTTGGGGTAGGAGAAGGGTTAGTGTTCAAAGGAAGAGAGAAGGGTTAGTCAGGGGTTGATTTCTCAAGCCATCGTCGCTGGCTGCGGCGGCCGTGGTTCCTCTGCTTTCTCTCCACGACGGAGACAAATGCGGAGAAGGAGAGAACATTGAGAGCTTCTTCTGTTCTCTATTTTTAAGAGAGAGGGGAAGATGGGGAAAATGAGGAGAATGGGAAATTGAAAGCCCATTTTGGGCTTATATTAGATGACTGAAACGACGTCATTTAACATATGGAGGAGTTTAGCGTGTTTTTCATTTAGGGTTAATAGTAGAATATGTCCCCATAGCTGTATAATCTCACCTCGCGTGTTCTAGGCATTTGGGATTAATACCACATTTGGTCCCTTATTTTATAAGATTTCCGTTTTCACCAGTTAATGAAATTTTTATTTACTTTTATTTTGAGCTCCTATTCTATTTATGTTGCAATTTAGTCTTTTTTCGCCTGTAAATGCATTTGTGTATATATCTAAGCCCATGCCATTGTATTGTATTTTATTTATGTTCAAGCACTATCTGTTTATGTTAGTTCATTTTAGTTCCTTATTTTTCTGTTATTTTATCTTTGGTTAAGTTTCTGTTAATATCATGGTATTTTATTTTCTTATATTTCAGTCCTTAATTGAAATGTTGGCTATTTTACTTTGAACTTTAAATTTCATCATTTTTGTATGTTAGTCATTTTTACACTGTTAATTGTTTTTGGTTAAATGGCTGATGTCGCTTATTAATTTGTGATGTGTTTATTTTATTCCTTGCATTTAGTTTTAATTTTTCATACTTTGATCTGCCATTTTTTATGTATACAAGTATTATGTTAAGTGTATTTCGTGTGGAGCCTCATATTAATTTATTTTGTTTCAGCACTTTATGTATTTATAATATTTGGTTAAATATTTTATAACTAATTCGAACATTTTCAAGAACATGTATTTGTACAACGGGCAGGGAAAGTATCACTTGATCAAAGTGGTACGATCTTATACGGCATTTTAATGACATAGGAATTTGCAACAAGTCAAGTATATTTTACTTATTAATTTATTCAAATGATGCAATATGTGTTATTTTTAATTCACTATTTATTTCCTTTTATTTGAATGCAAACGTTAATTTTATTTATATTCGGTTTGCATATTTATCAATGAAGGAATATTCTTTTATTGACAAGAAATAGTCGAGTTAACTTTCCCAATGGAGGATTACTAATTTCGATATTTCTTTTCGAGTTAAAGAATTTTCTGTAATTAATTTATTTGAAGCAAATTAATTAAATTTCAGTAAATAGATCACATCTTAACTTTACGTTCGACTCACGATTTTCACAATGTATGACAACGTGTAAGCGACACAGTACCAATTTTGGGCGTTGTGGGGTGCTAACCCTTCCCCACACGTAAACGACTCCCGAATCCATTCAAATCGAATCTTTGGTTACGCAGATCAATTTTTGTCTTATAAAAATGATTTTTCTTAAAATTATTTTTTTAAAAGACGTTTTTAGGTATTCGACCTACCTAACCCAAAGGTCGATGGCAACTCCATCCATTTTAATTCCATATTAATCCAAATCCCCCAAATTCGCCAAATTAAAGTCATAATCTATTTTTTTTAAATAATATTTAATTGTTTTACCTAAAAATGGTTATGATCATTTTAATTCGAAAGCCGCATGCTGAATGTTTGGTTTAAGCTGCAAATTCATTTAAAGGAATCGATGAGCTGAATCATTAATCTGAAATACGAGATTGCAAGATGATAACACAGTGTGCAACCGAAGGTTTTAACCTGTGTAAAGGAATTCGAAAGCCATTTAACTGATCTGCAGTTAGAGAGGGCTCTTCAATGGAATGCTTTTTCGCCATGTTATAAAGCACTATGTCATTCAAGCCAGAGATAGTGACAAGCTCGGAGTTGCAGAGGACTGAACTTTGAAAGGAAAACATTATAACTGACTCGATATGAGGTTAGTACATTGGTGTTTAAACTAATTTTGCTCCCTTCCTTATCCTCCTCCATCGATTTACCATCCTCTCAATAGGCAAGCAATGCATGCTTTTGCTATTGTTGTAACTTAAATTGACTCGAATGTTCAACCAGTTTGAAGCATGAAGCATTCATGCTTGGAACTTCCAAGATTAAGCATGATAATGGAGCATTCGAGATTTTCATCACGACTGCACCGATCCCAGATCCAAATGAGAAACTTACCGTCTTTGGAAAGGTCGTTAATGGAGAGGATACTGTTCAGGTAAAGCAAGCTTCAATTTCTTTCCTTTCAAGTGTTTGTGATGACCTTATTTTCTCCTTTGGTTACCAATTGCATAGTTAATCGGTACTAGTGGTTGGGCACATTCAATTCAACATGTTTTCCCATGATCCTACCAAAAAAGTTGCACTTAAATTATATCAATTTTATGCAGGAAATCGAAGAAGTGGATACGGATGAGAATTATTGGCCTAAATCTTCAATAGCCATCTACCGTGTGACCCTGAAACAAAGCGTCTAAAACCAAACACAAAGAAGTTTTCTGCACTTCATCTTGTCATTCGAACCAAAGATTCCATCGGTAAAATTTGCTCAGAAGAATCAGAGTGCATTCTTTTTCAAACTTAGTATCTTACTGTGGTTGGCATTACACACGGCCCATCGATCAAGCTCCCCGGAATTAGTCTGGTTCCACTTTTGGTTATCCTTTTTCACTATCATACACTGTAATTTCACTTCTTTTGACATCTGTTTCTAAATCTGTTTTGATATCTGCTCATTCTGAACCTGAAATGACCCGAATGTGAATTGCTCATTTTGAACTTGAAATGACCCGAATGCAAATTGATTGAAACAACCTAAATGACATCGACTCAACATGACCTGACCCAAAAATCCAACTTAAAAATCCAAATGACTTGCATCCCAAACCTGAAATGACATAAATCTGAAATCAATCAAACTTACGTTGCTTTTTTTTTTTCAAAAACAATGACGATTAGGTTTCAGCTGATCATACAATCAAGCATATGTTAGATCCATCAATCAATGTTATTGGTATTGCTACATTTTTAAGATCGATTCGTCCAAAAGATTCCACTGCAATTATAAGAAATTATTGTCACGTCTATAAACTAAAGGTACTCCTCAAATAAGAACAGATGGAGAGAGTTGGAGAAATATAAATATGAAAACTGAACATATTTGAGCAAAAAGCTAAGAGGACTTACTAAGCACGATAATGATACAGACAAGGTTAATTTAACATTTGAACAGACAAAATTTCCCGATTAAGAAAATAGCATCATCCATCAGGTGAAGATTAACGGTCCCATCCGGAGGGCCTTCGTCTTTCTCTCTGTCTCTCACTAGAACTGAAAGAAAAGAGCAGAGTATGAGCGTAATCAGCATAGTAGTAGAAAACAATAAAGCATCACAAAATGGTGTCATAAAATTTTCAGTTGAGAAAATACCTCTCTGAGTTCCTTTGGTTAGTGTTTTGTCCAGCACTTTGTGAAGTGTTCGATCCTGATGTAGGAGCAGTGCCGAATGAACTGGTCGTCTGAGTATCTCCACCAATGGAGCCACCGGATACAAATCCAGACAAAGTTGGTCTTCTGATACTTGAACTGCTATTGAAACCTTGACTATGAGGGTTTGATGAAGCAGCAACAAAGTTACTCTTCATTTGTGCCATCATGCCAGTTTTCAGAGAATTTACAGCAGCTTTCCGACTTTTAACAGCCTGGGAAGAAGCATTACTGGATTGCGGATTATATCCAATACCCAGACCGTAATCAACTCCACGCACACCTCTGCCACCCCCACCACCACCCCTTCCTCTACCCTTCTTCCCTCCTGCATGTTATATAGCACACATCACTTCAGAGTTTAAAGGGCTTTCATAAATGCAATAAACAAGAATTATCTTGGAAAAACATATAAAGAAATGGTTAACTTTTTGTCATCTACCTTAGATTTTTTTACTTCACAAAAGCTTAAACAAAGTTCTAGTTACATACAAAGTTACATGCAATCACATACATAATAACTACATTGTATGTCAAAGAGAATCATACCTCCTTTTCTTGCATCACGCTTGGACCTAAATCTCCCATCCTATTTATAGACAAGGCAAGTATCAATACAAAATTATCATATGCATAGATCAAATCTGAAATCTACAGATTTCAAGAATGGAGAACCAGGTAAGTGTTTAAGATAGTTCCATCAGTTATAGCATCGTTGCTTGAAACTGGAATGCAACATAGAAGACCACCAAAATTGAAGCAAAAAAAGGGTGTTGCCTATCACTTTCTATTAACTTTAGTGAAGGCCATTAGCTACAAAATAAACATTAGTTCAAGTGATTAGGTTACCTTCATAGCAAGATCCATCAGTTCCGTTGAGACATTCTGCCCAGCAGCAACTAAACTATTTACCAATTCACCAGCAAACCGAGCCTCCTTCTGAGTTATAAGAGTATAAGCAATGCCATCTTTGTCACCAGCACGACCTGTTCTACCAATACGGTGCACATGCATGTCCATATCCTTTGCAATATCATAGTTCACAACCGACTTAATTGACTTGATGTCAAGACCACGAGCAGCAACATCAGTAGCGACGAGAACATGGTAGATGCCAGATTTAAACTTTTGTAGAATTTCCATTCGAGAAGCCTGATCTTTGTCACCATGAAGGGCGCCAACCTTAAAACCCTTACTAGAAAGCTGAGACTCGATCTCATCAACAGTAGCTTTCTTGGAAGCAAACACTAAAACATCACCCTCATCAATCATTCCAGGTAGCTTCTCAAGAAGCCAGGGTAACTTCTCAGAGTCGGAAGGAATTACATGAACATGCTGAGTAATATCCTCATTAGCTGTTCCCACCTCTCCAACTGTAACTCTGATTGGATCACTGAGAATTTCCCTGGCTAACTTCTCTACTTTGTGTGGCATTGTTGCTGAAAATAGTAAGGTCTGGCGGTCAGGTCTGATTTGGCCAACAATGGATCTTATTTGTGGTTCAAACCCAAGGTCAAACATTCGATCAGCCTCATCAAGCACCAAATAAGTTGCTCTTGTCATTGTGAGTGCCTTCATTTTTAGCATGTCTATCAATCGACCAGGTGTAGCAACAACAATCTCACATCCCGACTTGAGTTCCTTGAACTGGTCAAGTTTGGACATTCCACCATACACAGCAGCGGTGCGTATACCATAGGCTTTTGCAAATTTCTTTGCTTCCAAGAATATTTGGTGTGCTAGTTCTCGGGTAGGTGCACATATCACTCCAATTGGACCCTCCTCCTGAAGTTCGGGCTGATCCATAGTGTGGACAATCATAGGAAGCACAAAAGAAGCAGTTTTACCAGAACCCGTTTTTGCTATACCAATAACATCCCTCCCCGATAGGACAATAGGTAAGGCCTGGCACTGAATGGTGGTTGGCTTTTCATACCCTTGTTTTGCAATAGCACGCATTAGTTCTGGTGCAAAACCACAGTCTTCAAATGTCTTAACAGGTCTTGGGACGTCAAAACCAGAAACACGAATAGCTAAACTCTTCCGGTATTCAGCAACTTCTTGCTCACTCATTCCTAGAAATGAGAAAAAATTTGAAGCAAAAAGAGTTTAGACAAAGAGCGACCCCAATCAAGAATATAATCCCTTATATTAAGAAAAAAGTGGCAAGTTATAAATTTATAAGCAATAATGTGTATATGGCAATGATGCATATGATTTCAATACAATGCCAAAAATCTCCTAGGATACTTAGCTAACCTAAAAGAAAAACTGTAAATCAAATAATCAATAATGCGTCTTAAGTTATAAATCATATGCAAATTTTATACTTTATTCTATCTTTAGAAACTATGCCAGTACCACATAAACGATAGTCAAGAAATTAAACCATATTCCAACTCTAAGAAATTGTAATTATCCAACTAATCATATAACCATATAATTATCATTAAAAACCAAAGAAGAGCACATTTCAGATATAAAACTATCCAATATACATGTTTTTCCTACAAGAATTGATTCTGTTCCTAAACATCTTACACTCATAATACCATATAATTTGCAATTTCAGTTACCTGAAACTAAAGCCTTCTCCTCATAAAAATCTTTATTAAACGGCTCATACTCAATGGAACTGTGATCAAGGGCTGGAATTGGCTCTATCTTCTTCTTATCGACAACCACCGGATTATCATCCGAATCATACTCCAACAAACCCGCGTCAACTGCCTTGGCAGCCGCGTAAACCTCCTCATCGGAATTATACCCAGCACGCAAAGCATCCGCCGCCAATGTCAGCCCAACATCCTTCTTCGACCTCAAAAAACTCTCCACCAGATCATCCTCATCTTCGTCGTCTCTATACCTCTCCGGCTTCTCCTTGGGCTCGGGAGCCGGTTTCGCTTTCAAATCCTCCTCTATGCCCTGCATAAACGCATCGAGAGGGTCGATTTCGTCACCTTCCCCACTGTTTCCATCGTCGGCGGGCTCGTTTTTGCCGGCGTCGGTGGATGTATCGTTGTTATCGGCGTAATCGATTTCGTCAAGGTCGTTATCTTCGTAGTTGTCGTGGGCATGACGAGAGGAAGGAGGAACGTAGAGGCGTTGAGAAGCCTGGGATCGCTCGAAGTTGTAGGTAGCTTGACGGTCTATCCCGAACCCTTGGAATCCGAATTTGCGCTTCGACATGGTTAATCCTCTCTTTCCTTAACAAAAAAAACCCTAATTTCAAAAGGGTTTTGGGAATTTTCTCTTTTAGGGTTTGGGACGCAATGGAAGACCACTACTACAAATTTTGTATAATTCGTATAGCCATTGGGATAATTCTAGGAAGTTTTTGAGTAAATTACATCACATGCCATTCTATTATCAATAGCTTTACAATTGCACACTTTCTCAAAAGGTCACAATTGATCTACTTAATTTAGAGGTGAGTATTTGATTGAATCAAGTAAAAAAGTTCAAGTCATTTGAATTGATGAGTCTCGTTTAATAACTTAAATTTTATATTAAAAAAAATCTAACGGAGTCGAGTTTATAAGATAATAGTCAAGTTATTCATATCAATCGACGGTACAATTATTTAAATATCGTAATCAATTAATTATATTATAATTTTTAAAATACATAAAGTTAATTGTAAATTTATTAATAATTTAATAATTAGCGTAAATTACTTTAAAATAAACTACTTCATTATTAGAATAATTTGAGATTATTTTATTTAATAAAAATATGTTTTTCTAAAAACATATAATTAGAAATAGTTATAGATTACTTTTAAGTTTCTTTTATATTTTTAAAAAAATAACATCTAATTTGAAATTAATTTGCATTAAATGATAATTATAATCTTTTATTTTTGAATCTGTAATGGTTTATGGGTATTTTTTGTTAAAAAAAGGAGAATTAGAGTACGAAATGGAAAAAAACATTTAATTTTCAACCATTTTGGAATGGAGATACGGGGATCAAACCCCGTGCCTCTCGCATGCAAAGACGGCTCTACCATTTGAGCTACATCCTCTAATTGGTAATTTTACCTAAATAACCCTAACAATGAAATATTATCTCTTAAACATCCTTTCATCAAATATTATCGATCTAATACTCTTTTCGAAAAATCACAGATTATGATGCGTGTTTTCGCAGGATTTTATTCGAGCTGACGTCACGATAGAAAAACACGGATCATAAAGAGCGCTTTTGTGGGCTTCTGTCCGAGCTGGCTTCACGTAGTAAAGGAGCGGATCATGAAGCACGTCTTTGGAAAATCTGACACGTGGTATGTTTTTTTCTTTGTTTTTATTTTTATTTTTAATAAGAATAAGTTTATTTTTGTGATATATTTTTCTTTGTTTTTGTGGTACATTTTTCGCTTTTTGTCTCTATTGTCTAATAATTCTTTTTTTTCTCTCTCAATGTTATATTTGACGATGCTACAAATGATCAAGATGACATTTTATTTGTAATCCTTTCGATCTTTCTTGATATAGACTCTCAGATTAAATTTAGATACACGATTTTACGTTCATATATAACTTCTCTTTACGCCCGGTTCTGATTTACGATTCTTGGTAGTCTTTCAATAGATTAATCTCATTTTGTGATTCGTTTGTTATTGCAGTCAGGTACGTTCGTATCTATTTTTTTGTTCTGGTTTTTTGGTTAGAGTTTAACATTTTTCATGTATGGTCCTCATATGATCTAAAGTAACTAGTTTCAGTTTTATAAAAAAATATCTAAATCTTGTATTTATTTTATGATGATAAATATAGACTCTCATTGTAATTTTGAATATTTTTAATTTGTAATAAAACTAACAACTATTAGAAAAATGAAAATAGGTTTAAAATAAAAGAAAAACTAAGAATAGTAGTCAGTGTGAATATTTAACCGAATTAATTTTTTTTAAATTAATCAAATCAATAAATCATATTTCATTGTTTAAATTTTATTTGAAATTTTTAATAAAATTCAATTCAAATAAAATTACTATAAAACCAGCTCCTCGTCGGTGTAATATTTACCTTCCGTCGGCGGGTTCTTTGTTTGTTACATGAACTCCAGTTCCGTTTTATGCCACGTGTTTTATTTTCAGTAAATGCGCGTTTCATGATCAATATTTTACTACCGTAGCACCTACTCGAATAGAACTCCACAAATGCACCGGCCACAGATTATGATCCGAACTTTTTCACCGTAACACCAACTCGAATAAAATACTGCGAAGTCGCGCTTTCCACGTTTTATTAGAGAATATGTTAGATCAGTAATATTTAACTGTTAGGGTGATTTTCTTTTTCTTTTACATTATATGATGACGACGAAGCCGAGGCCTTGATCACTAGCAAATCGAAGCCTCTTCCACTCTCAGACCATCACAAATTTCTTCACGAAATCCAAAAACCCAAACGCTAAAACTATGTTTATCATCGACTGGTTCTACGGCGTCCTGGCCTCCCTCGGCCTCTGACAGAAAGAGGCTAAGATCATGTTTCTCGGCCTCGATAATGCCGGTAAAACCATCTTGCTTCACATGTTGAAAGACGAGGTTCGTTTCCTTTCTCCTTTTAAACATTTTCCCATTTATGTTCCGTCGTCAAATTCTGTTTATTCCAAAGTTATGACTTCGGATTCTGTCATTCTGTTTATTGTCTAAAATCTCAGGTGTTCATGATTATTTTAGCTTGAGAAAAAATTGGGTTTGATTTTGTTTTCTTTTTCGATTCTGGAAATTGAAGTTAAACCCTTTTGAATGCTTTGGTTTTCTTTGAATTTGTAATGGAAAATGAGGAAATTTGACAAAGATGGGTAATTTAGAGATGTTGATTAAGTAGTGAACTGTTTACAGAGATTGGTTCAGCACCAGCCAACTCAGTATCCTACATCGGGGGAGCTTAGTATTGGGAAAATTAAGTTCAAAGCTTTCGACTTGGGAGGTCATCAGATTGCTCGCAGAGTTTGGAAGGATTCCTTGCCAAGGTAACCAAAATGCCATGTTTCCCCCCTTAGCATTTGCTTGGTTTAGGGTTTCATTGATCTTATTTGTTTCTCATTTTCAGCTTTCATGTTCATTAGTTTTAGTTATATGTTGTAATTCATTTTGTACGGTGCTGCAATCTTACTTGGTATTCGATGATCAGATAAGTTGCAACGGATCGGTTATGTTTCGGATTTTGTTTTCTCGAACAATCATTGCTGATATGTGAATTTCTTTGTGTTCATATGTTTTGCTTATGTTTTTATGCTCGTGAATTTTCAGTGGTGTTGGTCTTGTTGATCATCTTATTGAATACTTACCAAAAGTCTAAACTATTGTACCAGTCTGCTCTTCATGGTTGCTCTTTTGTTTTCCTTTATAAAGTTAATCTTCAAGTGTATTTCATTTTAGAAAGATGGCCGAGTGTTCTTTGTGCCGCTGTAGCATTCTTCAACTTTGTAGCTTGCTGTCGGTTGATTTCGTGAAGATTTTTCCGAAGCAGATAATTTGAAAAGCACAGAAATGATAGATTCTCGGTGAGGCACGGGTGGTTTTCTTTCCTTTTTCCCAATCCTACTTTAGGGAAGGCCTGCCTGGTTTTTGAATGATGTGGTCTATAATTTCCGGTTGCAATGCTAAGGTTTTATCATAAAGTCGATGCTTTCAAGCAACATTTTCCGTATACAACTGAGTTCACATGGCGTTCTTTCTACACGCTGCGGATGTTGCCTCTATCTCGCTTTGATTTGTTTTCTGATGTGCATGTTTGTCGTTATTGCTGCTTGTTATATTCGATAATGCAATGGGGTGTCTGGTCTTGAGTGAATACTTTGAATTGTGTATTTTCTGGGTTCCAGGTGGATGCTGTGGTGTACCTGGTAGATGCCTATGATAAAGAGAGGTTTGCAGAATCAAAGAAGGAACTCGATGCACTTCTTTCAGACGAATCCCTCGCCAATGTCCCGTTTCTTATCCTAGGAAACAAGATTGATATACCTTACGCTGCCTCGGAGGATGAGTTACGTTACCATCTCGGGCTCACAAACTTTACCACCGGAAAGGGAAAAGTAAACCTAGAGGACTCGAATGTCCGTCCACTAGATGTATTCATGTGCAGCCTCGTTCGCAAAATGGGGTATGGTGATGGCATCAAATGGATGTCTCAGTATATTAAGTAAGGTAACAGATCGGAGAAACGCGTTAGTTTGATGTTACAAACTCCCAAACGCCGATTGCACCGCGTCGTGCCCGACTTAAGGAAAGGGCAAAAATATGTATTCATTGAACTTTTCGAACCAGTCCTTTGGTGTTTTAGGTTTGATGTATTTTGGTTTTGGATGTGTAAATTCTACTTGGTGCAAATCTATGATATTGCTTTAGGAGTGTAAATGAAACTAGTCGAGCTCGAGTTCAATGAGTTCAACAATAAATCAGAATAATATGCATTAGCATACATATATAATCTTTAAGTCTCACCTGAACCCGGTCCGATCCAATCTATATACGAATATATTTACTTTTATTTAATGTCGAAATAGTATCCACAGATAATGTGACATGTGATAAATACTATACACATGAATAAATTTATTAAATGTCCAAATAATATTTACACATGATAAATGCTAGAGAAAATAACCTCAGTGACCAAAAATCCCATATAATATACGATTTTAACCAATTTTTTCCGGATTTGTCAAAATGATCAATAAAATCGTAATGCGATCGTTAATTCGCAACGCGATCTCCATTATCGCAAATCAGTTCCAGATTCGCAACGCGATTATGACTATCACAATGCGATTTTCCAATTTCGCGTTGCGATTTTCCCAATTCGCAATGCGAATAAGTAAATCGCAATGCGAATTTGGAAAATCGCAATGCGAATTTGGAAAATAGCAACGCGATACTGACTATCGCAACGCGATAATACAAAATCGCAATGCGATAATACAAAATCGCAACGCGATACTGACTTTCGCAACGCGATATTTACTTTCGCAACGAGATACTGACTTTCGCAACGAGATAATACATAATCGCAATGTTATTTTCAAAGCGCCATTAGTATCGCAAAGCGTATTTTATTTTCAAATTCCAAACACGAATATTAATATATTGGAACACTGAACCGTCCACAGTATATCCCGTAATCGCAACTCATAACCTAAAACCTAAAATCACAACTCAGTCCCATCTCCATCTCTCACTCTCTCACCCATCTCCTACGAAATCCGTCCCATCTCCGGCGAAATCCGTCTATCTCCATCTCTCAGAGCCACCCTCACAATCAG